ATTCACTTCACCACTACAGCCGGCTTTGCTTAGATGCAAGTTCTGTTTTCCTGGTTCCTTTCCCTCATTTTTAAGAAACTACAACTATTTAAAGGGAAAGGCATTTCCAGAATGGTGAAGGGACTGTCTTGGTAATGGAACAGCTCCTTCAGTAAGTTTCACCTGTGTGAGGGTGCCACCATGTACACGTCAGGTCTTTGGGGAAGCACTTTATAGATGAAAGTGGCTCATTCCTGAACTTAAAGGGGTTTATAATTGACAGGCAGTCTGGAAGCAAAGTCTCTACTTGTTGCCTGTGTGGTTTGGCCTGCTTGTGTCCATAGTACCCAGCTTGAATTTTTTTTTAAATGAGTAGTCTTTCCAATTTTAATATTGAGTGTTTTCAGAAGTGTTGGTCAGCTATGAGTTTGTTTCTAGATTTGAAGTGCAGACTGCTAAACAAATCAGAGAAAGATCTGTCAGCACCTGTCCTGGTCCCAGTCACTATCATGGCCGCCTATTTACCTGGTACCCTCCCTGTGTGCTGTGCTCACCTGTCTGCCTGTAATGGCCTGTGTCTGTCATGTTTAAATGACTTACTCTTGACCAAGCTGTTGGGGTATTTGGTGCGGTTTATATATTATTGGTGCTTGGCAATATTCACAATAGCTTCTGTATGGCAAAATGATTGCAAGGGCAAGGAAAAATAGGAGTAGTTGTTTATCATCTGGAGCTTTCTCAAAATTGCCTAGAGCAAACTTTAATTGTACACACTTGCCCTTGTCACTTCTTTACCACCTGAATTCTAAGGATTTTCCAGGACAGAAAAGTTCATGAAGGTTGGTAAGACAGTTTTTGAAAATACACTGACTAAAGGGCCCACCTCTGTGTCAACCCTCAGATTAAGGTCAGGTTAACCCTTACCCCCGGGCTCCGTCAATGCCATGGCTTTTGTGCTTTCTCCTTAAGTTGGAATTCTTGCTCCCATCTTTGCTTATCTTTCTTTCCACTCTAACCCACTATTTCTTCCCTCCCCCCAGTCAGCCTTTTCAGACTGTCGATAGGAAATTTTGAGATTAGTCATCCGCTTGTTTTTTTTGGTAAGCATTTACGAAGTGTCTACTCCATCACACAGGAGATACTGAGGAGAGTAAGCAAGAGTTACTTTTGTCCTTGGTGGGTTTCTGGACTGATGGATTTATAGCTACGTATTGGGGGGAAAAGCTAATAATTTTGTGAATGAACTCGGTGCACAAAGCCCAGTGTTAAAACACAGCATAATTGACTCTGACAGGCTGTTACCACACTGGTAAGCTGTTCTCTTGTGCCCAACTTACCCTTTAACAGTTTCATGTTGATGTGATTTTTGATTCAGGGAGTTTCTCCTTCTTGAAGTATAAAAGATAGTTTTCATGATTAACAACCTTTGGCTTATAGTCTGGATGATCTTTGGAAATTTGAACTAGAGTCATTTGTTGCGTGGCTGAGTGGCAGGGCAGGCGTTTGGAGGTTCAAGTTCCCAGCTTTCACATGAGTTAACACAGTCCAGGCTTTGGCACCCTGCCACTCTCTCTCCTCTGTGGACAGGTTTGTGAAATTTGATATTCTTATGTCTTTCCTGGAAAATCTTGCAAGGTTCAGCAGTGTTTCAATGGCTGACCCATTTCTGTTAAATTCCTGTTGTCAGACTTAAGTGCAAGGTTATCCTGGACCTGTTGCCAGAATGGAGTCAGTGTGTTTCATTGACTTTTTTGCACAACTACTAAACCAGTGTTTCAGTGACAACTTTTGCTTTGAATGCAGAAATGGGTCATTGCTCTTTGTGCTTATTATGCTGTCACTAATTCCCCTTAAAAGGTGAACCAACTTATCCAAGCATTTATTATATCAGCAAAGTTCATAAAAGTGGGATTTGGACAATGAATACTTGGGTTGACACCTGTAAGCAGAACTTTAGTGTGTATGTCTACCTAAAATATAGATTACTTCTTAGTGAGTTTGTGAGAGTAGAAGGGCTCTTAACATATTTTATTCATTCCCATGCTTCCAATCTTTGGAATCCATCTTTGCCCCTATCCTTGGTGAATAAACTGATTGAACAGCATCATTTCTTGGTTATTGTAGTATTGCCTGGCCAGAAATACACTGGACTTGGAAGTCAGACGTCCTAGATTGGAGCCCAGCATTTACTATTTGTGCTATTTAGCTTAAGTTCAAATTCCTATTTTGTAAAATGGTGATGATAAGTGATGTCAGGCCCCCACTCCACTTACCTTCCTCTCACAGTGTGGAGCAATTGAAAACATGAATTGGGAAGTGTCATGTAACTCAGGGCACAACCATAGGGCCTCCCCCTCTTGCCAAAGATGGGCAAGCTCAGTGAACTGCCAAAGGGTTCATGGAAGGCTCCCGTAGAGGTTAGTAATGGAGAGCTTCCCCTCTCTATGATCCTGAGCAGCAGCCTCTTGACTCCCCCCAGAGACACCCTGGACCATTATGCAGGGCAGCATTTTTCTTCAGTTAAGCTGAAAGTAATCTTAATGACTTCCAAGATACTTTACACTACTTGGTTCAAGTAATCGTTCAAATCAGTGCATATCAAGCTGTAGATATTTTTTAACTATGAAAAGGGTCTTACAACCAGCTTCCTGTTTACGGTAATTCAATTCAGTAAGTGAGAGCTTGTGCCTCTATCATGTGGTTGCTGTGCTTGCCCGGCCTCTACAGGCAGCTATTGTTTCTCCTCCTGGTGTCTGGAAGAGGAACAGAAGGGCAAGCCACCCAAATAGAGATGAATGGGAGGTCAAAACTTTTTAACTCCTTAGAATACTTGCTAGAATGTTTTTTTTGTGTGTGTGAATTTTGAAGTGTATAACTTAGCATATTTTTAATATATATTGAATCTTTTTGAAAAAGCATTAGAAATAAAAATAACTATAACCTCTTATTTATCTACAAACCTGAATAACAGAAATGGTATATTTTACCTCTTTGATCACTCTGGTGGTTTCACAAGATATGACATTGTTAGAAAAACTTAATCATGATTCTGAAAGCTTTCCCCCAAATGGTTCCTTTCTTCAGTGCTTACATCAAAAGAGTTGGGGGTTTTTTTTTTTGTTTGTTTGTTTGTTTTTAGGAAGTGCTTTTTTATCAGCAGTGTAAGTTTTTTTGGAAAGCTTTAGATGGGAATCAGAATACAGCCCTGCCTTCTCTATACTGTTAGGTTCTCAAGTTCCCTTAACTGTCCTGAGTTTCACTTGTGTTATATGTTAAAAGTGAGAAAAAAGTTTTTTTAAACGTTATCTTTGATTTTAAGTTGTGCTAATTCAAGTGTTTTTGTAACCATTTAGCTTTTAGAGGTAATGAAATGTTGATCAAGAGCTCTGTTCATAAAAGACCCATTCATAGTGACTTAGTTCGTAGAACCCATTTTCAGGCACAAATACTGATCATGACTTCCCATGACTTTCCCTACAGGGGTAAAATAAAATTGTGAAAAATGCTTGGAATTTAATTAGTAATTAGCTTATAAAGAACCATTTCCAAAAAGTCATCACTTCCCTAAGCTGTTATAACAGAGGACTTAGTGAGTTCAGAATTCTTTTTTTAAATATTTATTCATACAGAACTGGGGTACAAGTCAGAGGTGCCGGGGTGGTGAGGGGATTCACCAAAGACAGAGTGGAGAGCAGAACAGGCAAATCTATGAAGTACACTGCTGAGGGGAGCAGCGAGCGGGTCAGGAGAGGTCTGCTGCCACATGTGGTCACCTCCGGGGCGGGGAATCAAACTCATGCTGAAATGGCGTTAGCTTCTTAGTGCCATGCTTTAACCCGCTGTGCCACCAGGGAAGGTAGAGTTCAGAATTCTTAAATGTATTTATTTTTTTTGTAAAGTAAAAGCCAATGACTATTGTTTAGTGTCTCCAAGTTTGCTACTGAACACAGTGATTTCTTTTGATAGAGGAGCCTTTGTACCTTGTGTGACCTTTCGCCTTCAGGTACAGTTTAGATCAACACTGATAATGTTAATGTTAAACTAGTCATCTTCATGTAAGAGTAGGTATTTGTTACCGTTTTCATAGGCTTTTATTATCAATGTATCTTGATGGGTATGTTTGCAAGTTTGATTACAGATTGCTGGCATAGAAGGGGAGATTTCAAAGGGACATGTGATGTGACATGGTGAGGGTGGGATTTGGAATCCCTGGCTTTCTGATGTGAGGGGAGGTTCTTCATTTCTTTCAACATCAGTTTCTCATTTGTTGATGGACATGCTGTCTGTCTGGAAAGTTTATTTCCTATGTGATGGATAGTGTTGGTGTATCAGATTTGCAACAGATTATTTAACTGTGATATTTTATATTAAAATTTGTTTCATTTTTAAAATATCTCTAAGCCATACAGACCAGACATTTTGGGATTTCTTGGTTGGTGACTGTATTAGCAGGCTTACCGTTTTCTAAGGTTATCTGAAGACTTTGAGGACACTGAAAAGTATCCTTGATTTCTGAATAAACCAATCATTAAATAAATCATCCTTCTTGATTTGTTTATTTAATGTGTTAATTTTAATGACCAATTTTCCATTCTTTGACATTAACTATGTAGCTGAAAAGACTCACAATTTCATCTTTCATCTCTTAATTTGTTTCAGGATTATCTGAGCCTTTTTATGGTTGTTTATAAAGTGCCTTCAGGATACAAGTTGTATTTTCAACTTGGTTCCTTTGTGAGGGAAAGGGAAGGGGGAACAGCTGCATGTTTATAGGCTACACCTTCCCCACCAGTCTCTGAATTTTCCTAATTCATCAGAGGTTTGGACGGTATCCAGAGCCCCAGCACCCCAGGAACTGGTGGCAGTGTGCTAGTGCACGCTGAGTTGTGTGCAGCTTGGGGGCCAGATTTGGAGCGTCACAGATTTTAATGAGACATGAAATTGCATGGTAAGTGGTCTGTGTGTGTGTGTATGTGTGAGTTTTTAAAAAATCTAACCATTTGTTCGATTTGTTTCTCCAGGTGGCATTTCTCTGAAGTTGTTCACTGGGGTGCCTTCGTATTCTTGCGATAATATAGGTAAGTAAATGAAATCATATACCTTATTGTCAATGGTTCTCTAGAAACACTTTCTAGGTGCGTAGGAACTTTGTGAAAGGGATAGTGTTCTAAACTTTTGGACCCAGAATGGTAAACACTGAGGTTTTTCTTTGGCTAGAATAGCTGCTTGGACAAGCATACGTGAATGTGGTAAAGGACCCTGAGGGTGTCAAATGTAACGCTCCAGCTTCAGTAGTGACATGATTTGTTTTGTCTCTGCTCCTAATCAAGTTTTAGAGCTCTGGAATTACCATGGATGTAGTTAGCTTTGTCTTTCCTTTTGAACTTCTTGTACCAATACAGTTTGTTACCATTTCTCTCCAAAAAATGAAATAAAAATGCCCACTTTGAATTGCCCAGTTTTATTACTCAGTGATAGCTTAGGTAGAGGAATTGCCTAAATAAAAGTTGAAAAGAGTTGGCTAGGAGATGATTGATGACTAAATATACATATATAAATATGATTAAAAAATCTACTGGAAAATATTAGTAACAGTAGTGGGGATTGAGTAACATACATTATTCATTCAAAAAAATCAAGACATTTGAAAGTTAGTTATTCTAAATGATTTTGGGTCAGCTCTGCTTTTCACAAGAGGGAGAGAACTATTTTATCTGGTCCTTCAGGGCCTTGTTATGAACTTGATGATGTAGTTCAGGGAACCCAATACATGATAAGGATTTAGGCCTCTTTCGATTTGGACCATAACCAGAAGGGTTTTTCTCACATGGGGAATTCAGAATATTTTCATAAGACACCATCTCATTTATAGAAAGGTGATATTTTTAGCTTACAGATTCTATATAAGGAAAAATGGCTCTTACATCATCAGTTGAGCTATTGATTTCTTAGATGATATCAGATTTTTCTAACAGCGACTGCTTCTTTGGTTAGATTAGGAAGCCTGGTTTTTTTAATATTTTGATGGAAACTATAAATACCTATGAGTTATGAAATTATTTGAGCAAACTTCCCTCTTATGGGAAATCCATGACTGACCCAAGACAAGTGGGTGTCCTGAGAAGGCAAATCTTTGGCACCTTAGCAAACTGATCTTTTCCTATCTGTTACATATTTACTTAGTGGGGTGGGAGAAACTTTATTAGTAAGGATTAATATTAAGACATATATTGCTTTTCCTGCATGTTGAAAATAAGGGGTTTATTACCTGTGGTTTTCTGAACCAGGTGTTCATAAACTTGTTTGAAATTTGGCTAATGATATCATACTGCCATGTGTTGTTCAGAGCTGGATTTCAGATGTCTGTCAGCCAGGTGACACTGGGGTGGGTAGGGAGGCCTGTTTTTATTCATACAGTTCTATGAGGGAAAATATTTTCAACAGAGACAGGTCTGTGCTGGTGAGGAGCGTGTTTATTTCACTCTGAGGCATGGTCTGCTTGAGTAGAAACAGGTTCATGGCTATTTCCCCCGTTTTGTAAGGAGTTGCATGTGAACCCCCAAGTTAAGTGACTCCATATTTCCAATATATTCATGATGGTTTAGTCCCCCGTTGTGGGTTGTCACCCTGGATCATGGCCATGCTGGGCCTCTTTAATCCAGCTCTGGGGGAAAGTCAGTTCTATTCTGCTAGTGCCTTCAGGAGCTAAATTGTGTTCACCCTTGAAATCCCCTCTCTATGAAGATTTAACCAGACAGTTCACTGCTTTCTTGCTGTTTTTTGTTGTTTTCATTTTGTTTCTTCTTCATGCATTTGTCTCATACAAATACAATTAAACTTTACTAAGTTAGACAGATCAAAGAACAGTCATTTTGAATTAACAGCAACAGAGACACGTGAGCCAGTGTTCTGCTTTATGCAGTCGCTCACATTTTACCAACTTGCTGGAAGGTGGCTCTTTAGCAAAGAGTTTTGGTTGGGGAGAACTTGGTGATAAGGCAGCTCTGGACTGGTTGGGATGCCCAGCTATGAAACCCACTGGCCACGGAGCCTCAGGCCTCTGAACCTGATGGAACTCTGAACAGTGGAATGGAAGAGTGAACAGTGTATGTGATAACTAGTCAGTGACAAGGGTCCCTGCCTGGCCCCCGTCATCCAGTGTCCTTGAAAGAGCACCAGGCATGGACTGGAGTAGCTGCTTTGCCAGGTCCCTTCTATGCTTCACAGCAAAGTGACAGGTTACACCGCTCTGTTCTGCCCTGCCTACCTCGTGAGAATAGAGGAAAGCATTGAAAAAGCACGAATGTAGGATGTGTGGATTGGTACCAGGGGGCTTATGATGGACAAGCTTTTCAAAAAAATCTGCTCACACTTTCTGGACTGGAATCCCAGCTGTACACCTTATAATTAGGTGTATGACCTTGAACAAGTTATTAACACACTCCCTGGCTTTCACCTGTCTTGCCGAATTGTGAGAGTGAATGGCATACTGTGTGCAGTGTGGAACCCCCACAACCCACACCTAGTAAGTTTGGATGAGCTCATAAAGTCACCAGGTCTCAGGAAAGGGAGGCAGAGAATCTGACTTGAAAAAAACATCTATGGTTATACGTTGAGCTTCCTTTTATATCATGCTAGTTTAGACCAGAGAAGATCATCTCTTTTCCTGGATGAACTGAAAGAGTGCCCTGATGTTGATGTGGGAGCCCCTTATCAGAGAGGCAGGCAAGTTAGTCTGCTGGGTTCTCTTCTTGGGGGAGTATATCTTTCCCCATGTGAATTTTAGTAAGTTCACTCTAGAGCAAATGAGCAAAGTAAAAACTCTAGACCTGTATTATCTGCCACAGCAGCCCTCCCCACGTAAGCCTACTTAAGTCCTTGAAATATGACTGGTGTAACTGAGGACCAGAATTTTTAATTTTATTTCATTTTTGTAGATTTCAAATTTAAGATGTGGTTAATTCAATTACTGGAAAAAATTTTTAAGTATGTGTGTTAACAACTTGGGTGTTCATATCTACTTTCTCAACTGTAAATTTTATGAAGTACTTCTGATGAAAATTTGGTGCAATTCAAAAATTTTGAAAAAGTTGGATACACAGATTTTGCAATATTGTCATTTTCTAAAAGGCAAATATTTTTAATACTGATTATATATTGAAATTATATTTTTGGTTAAATATAAGTTTTGGATAATTTCTTGAAATAATCAAAATTGGGGATGTCGCCTCAAAGATGTGCTACTCGAACCCCAGGTAATGAAGCTCGAGCTCAATTTTATGTCATTACTGTTGTCTCTCCCCTTAGCTTCTGATAAACCCAAGCACTGTTTTTCAACTAAATATTTTGCTTCTGATGACTGTTGGCTTTGACAATTGAATGAGGGTCTCTGTTCCTGGGGTCACTTTTTGCTGTGCCCTAGAAGATAAGTTAGGAGCTGTTATCCAGGAGAAAAGAGCTTTTAATTACCTCTAGTGTAATTAACCCTCTTTTTTTAACACGGCACAAAAAATAGAGCTCTATTCCCACTGGAATAGTTGTTGGCTAGAAGCTTAGCTGTCACCAGCTTATATAGGAAGTGTGAGAAGATAAAACAAGCAGGGTTACCAGGTATTTTTGTTTCCCATTCTCTGAGTAACACCTCTAGAAGGCTCTTAAGTGGTAGGGAAGAGTCTTTATTCAGTATCACACAGGTTTAGCTTGGAGTTGGCTGTCACAGTGGTGACAGTGTTTCCCAGCCTCTCTAACTTTGTTCCTATGTACCTTTTCTTGTTAAAACTCTTCCATTGTAAGTGTTTCATCTGTGACTTCAGCATTCCTCTGTGTGATAAACATGGCAGATACACTTGCCGTCCTCACACTTTTCCAGATTGAATAAATGAGAGTTTACTTTCCGGCAAACTTTCCAAAGCTCTTTCAAGAATTAGGCAGCATTGATCTTTCTGTATTAAAGACAAAGCATTTTTAAAATTCATGGAAAAAAGCAAGGACACTATACCTTACATAAAGTTTAACTGCTATGACAGTCAAGTTTTTAATTTTGTATTACAGTGCAAAATTAATTTCCACTAGCAGCTTGGAAGCAGGTGATGGGGCATTTAATAAGAGAATATAACAGTCTTTTCCCTTTATTGAGACCAAATTGACCAAATACATGGTCTCTAAATAGGAAAGCGATAAAGCAGAAATACACCCTGGTTTTCAATATTCGCCAAAGACAAATCAAATAATCTTAGACATTTAGGATTCAAATGAGTACAGTTCATTGTTCTCTGCCGTTGTTACTTGCATATTGATAACTTCTTCTTTTTTTTTTTTTTCAAATTTAAAATTCTGATGAGACCTGTGCTGGTTCCAGAGGAGAGTGTTAAGGATTCTTCCCAACAGAGGCAACCCTATTTTCCTTGGCAGACTGTAGGCTGCCTGTGGGCTGGTCTGGGTCTTCTGTTACATCATTGGTGTTTGGTACAATATCTGGTGCAGAGTAGATGTGTGGTAAATATTGTGGGTGGAAAGTAAATGACGGTTAGACTGCAGAGCTGGGTCTGGAATATTCTCTGTAGAGAATTCTGTCTCAGTACCTGCAGGCTGTCCAGCAGTTATGTGCTTTGTAAGGGTTAGCAAATAAAAGTGTGACTGTAGCTTAAGTATAACTTTGAATGTGTAAAGGAGTTTGAGTATGAACACTTTACAGTTTGGGGTGCCATGAAGGTACTTTTTTTTAAGAGTTATTTATACAGGGGTACAGGCCATAGGTGCATGAATGAATGAAGCACAGCCTTGGAGGGAGAGCAGATGCCTGTGGGTTAGCTTTGGACAGCAGCAGAGACAGGTCGAAGGCATAGGGTGGGTTGGGGTTGCCCTAGCTAAGCTTAAAGTACAAAGAATGGATGGCAAGAGATATTTCATGTGGTGGCCTCTGTGCTTTTGAGAAGTAGCATATGTGGAGAGGAGGTGAAGCATGGGGCTTAAGAGGAACACATGCTTCCCTACATGCTACAGAACTCTTCCCCTGTGGATGCAGCCACATACCTACATCACATGGATGTTGGTCCTTTTTGATGGGTTATGCCACAGA